CACATTTGCTGCCCTTCCAGTGCAGTGATTCATAGTCACGCCCAGTGACGAGTGCTGACGTATCATCAGCAAAAAGTGTGATAAAGCTGTCATCAACCAAAAGAGGCAAGTCATTAATAAATAATAAAAATAGGATTGGTCCAAGGACACTCCCCTGAGGAACCCCAGTTTCAACGGCTGCCCAATCGGAGATTGCTACTCGACCCTCAACATTCATCCTCACAGCCTGGGTTCTACCTGACAAATATGATACCAGCCACCCGTAAGCTGGGCCTCTTATTCCATAGTGAAAGATTTTATTTAGAAGTATGCTGTGGTTGATGGTATCGAAAGCCTTAGTGAAATCGAAGAAAATACCCACTGATTTCAGCTTTGCATCGAAACCATCCAAAATTGCAGTATACAGGGAGACTATGGCATCCGTTGTAGAGAGCCCAGCTCTGAATCCAAACTGACGGCATGACAGAATGCCAAAAGCGTCCAAAAAAGCGACAAGTCTTCTCCCGAAGGACCTCTCAAAAATCTTAGAGAATACAGACAGCAGCGCAATGGGCCTATAGTTCTCAACCAGCGATTTCTGACCCTTTTTGTGAAGTGGTATCACAATGGCTGCCTTAAGCTCTTTAGGAAAATATCCAAACTGAAAGGACACGTTCAGAAGATAGGTCAGTACAGGGAGAATATTAGAAGCACATTCACACAATAAATTACAAGGAATCTCATCAGCGCCACATGACCTTTTTCCTGAGACAGATTTAATAATCTCATGAGTTTCACTCTCAGTGAGAGGAGACAAGAAAATAGATTGAGATATTCCACTGCACGGCATATTAATGGTTGTAGGTGCCTGAATATTGTCCAGGAGTTTAGCTACTGATCCGACAAAAAAGTCATTGAAGGTGTTAGCAATGTTCAGACCTCCGGTAACATCCCTCCCGTTTGCTGTAATCTTATCAGGAACAGACTTTGACTTGCAGTTTGAAAAGCCTGTAGTCGAATTAATGATATTCCAAGCGGTTCGCGTAACATTCCTAGAGGTTAATATTTTTTGAGAATTAATAGTTCTCTTAGCAGTGGCTATATTTTTTCTATGATCCCTTAATCTGGCTCTATATGACAAATGCAATTCGGGGTTGTCTAGACATTTTAGTTGGATATGAAGATGTCTCAACTGTTTACCTTCATTGATAATTGAGGGCAAAATAAGAAAATTATAAGGCATTAAGGGGAATTATAGGGCAATATCGGGAATTACTGAATGATATAGGAAATAAGGGCGATATTTGGGAAATACTTAATTCCCACAAGGGGAAATATTTGTCAAAAATCTCAGGGGTGGCTTACCCCTTGGGCTGCTAGCATATCATCCCTTATATTGTTTGCCCAGCGGATCTGAGTCTATGGAAGGAATTCGGAAGTAAATGTGCCATGTTGCCACGTTTATTTATAAAAAAGCGAAAATACTAGGAATGAAGTATAGTTAATTTGAAAATCCATTTTTTAATAACAAAATATTGATACAATAATAAAACGCTAAATATTTTAACGTGGTTGTTAGATCTATCCTTATTTTAATCCTGATTTCTTCAATTTGGTCTATTGTAAAAAATAAACATTTTCTAAAAATACCATCAGGTTTTGACAATTTGGCAAGCATCCGTCCTGGATGAACCTGATTGGTGGAGTTTTTGGCAGGATCGCCGTTGTCATGGGGAACCATACGGTTGTCAATGAGCTAACGTCACCTTACGTCTTGCTATTGGCCAGGGCTCACGTCATTTTATCCTCCCATCTTGAAATATGGATTTATATTGAAATATCCAGTGGCGGAGATTTGGTAATTGCTAATTTTCGTGTACGAGTTGCAATACGATAACGCTTCCAAAAAGTTCCGCACGCAGCTGGGTATTTTATGAATGAAATCAGCCATTTTTTTGACAACTGCATTCCCCTTACCGTTGCCCCGTAGACACAGATTCGCTGGGCAGACATTAGAATAAAGGATCTTCACCTGTAGATTTTTTGGGTTTTAGTTTTTTTATGGCATTTTTGACTGTATTCTCAGATATGGATGAAAATGAGAAGTTACCCCATTGGCTAATGATTTTCCATATCAAAACAAGAACAAGTGGGTGATTGAGATCCCATAAACTAATGCAAAGTAATGTGCAAAGGCTTCTGAAATTTGATCTGGCTCCTCTATGGTCAAACCATTACAAGTACCACATCCTGGTATACCAGGTTTCCTAGATCTAGAATTTACAAACTTCCAAAAGCTGTTAGGATCTAATCTTATATTCTCCTCTATATTTTTTATATACTCAGAAAACTCTCTATCGATTTGCTTTCTAATAATGGATCTAACTCTACTGTACCCATTAAAAAGATATAAACTAGCCTTGCCACGCTTTATTTGGTTATGTGACCTATTTTTATGCTTAATGTTTCTCACTAAATCGATTGAAACCCATTGTGGATATTTACTATGTTTAGAAACTGTTTTTTTTTGGAACTGCATTATCCAACTACATACAGTGTCATAGAATAAGGCTAGACATTCTGTTCGGATCAGAATTTGTGAAAAGATCAAGCCAGTTAATTCCTTTAATAGCATTATACAGACGCAAACAGTTACCATTTGCATAATCATACTTATAAGAAGGTAATATAGTTAGTGATGTAAAATTCCCAAAACATTCGAAAGCCGCGAACATTCTCAGAAACTTTCCGGGAATATTGGAAACTTTCGGAACCTTATGGAAATATTTTTTTTTTTTTAAATTTATAGCTAAATCAGACAAATCGTAGTAAGCCTTATTTACCTATTATTGTAGTGTACTGACTATAGACTGAACCAAGAAAAACACCTATATTTTTCTGTAAGATCAGCTAAAAATTAAACTATTAAACTATGTAGTAAAAACGCTTTTATGGACGGTTGAGTAAGGCTTTAAAAGAAAAGCTGATCCGATTAACCCAATCTCTCAGCTCTTTATTTTTTATCTTTCTTCAATGAAGAATATTTTAAAAAAAGACAAACTGTAGGCTGTAGGTACATCAGCTGGTGATCGGGTAAATCGGATCAGCGTTTCCGTAAAGACATTTGCACTGGACTACGTCATCCACATAAAGTAAAATGATGTCACCGAGACCTTGTATTCGCCATAATCTCGCATTCAAAAAAAAAAATCTTCTGGAAAGTTCTTGGAAATATTCTCGAAAGTTCTCGGAAATATTCTTTTGAGAGTTTTTGATTGAAAGTTTCCGGGAATATTCTCATTCAGGAGAACGTTTCCATTTTTTATCGGCGAATATTCTCGGAAATTTCCCAATGTTCGCGAATATTCGCATGGGAATATTCTCGACTCACATCACTAAATATATTACTCGATATAGTATTAACATCACCATCCCTTTGACATTTGAATTTTATCAAATTAGTCGGGAGGCATGCATAATTTGTTATGTTAATAATGTGACGCTGAAAAATTTGAAAAACAAATAAAAAATCAATCAATAGATTTAATACACAAATTTTTGTGTTGTTGTTGCTGTTTTTGTTGATGATGTTGCTGTTTTTGTTGTTGTTGTGTTGATGTGTTGTTGTTGTTGTGTTGATGTGTTTTTGTTTTGTTGGTATTGCTGTTTTTTAGAGGATAGTGCAGCTATTTTGCTTGCAAGTTTGATTATTTATTAAGCTATCAAGAAAAAGACGACTAGTCGGGTTAGTGACGATCTTACAAAGCAGCAAATAAGTACTATTTTGCAATTTTTTTAAAAATTATATGGTTTTATACAGGAAAACAAAGTAATATTGGGTACCAAGCACAAGCTACTTTGGAAAGAAAATCAGATTTGGAGAAAGGGATGAGCCGAGGGATGAGCTGAGCACATTTATGCAGTACTTCAAAAGTGCTTTTCTTTATTTCTTCTGTGTAAAATAAGTATAATTTATGAAATGCATCACCAGTGTTCTTTTTTAGCATTGTTTCAAGGCATTTTTGCAGTACCTTTCAAACACTTTCCTTTAAAAGATACACCAAGGCATGCTCTTAGTGAGTGCTGATTTTATAATGGCTGGGTCTCGGGCTGGGTGGTAATTTTCCAAGAGGCTGAGTAATTTGCTAGTACCTACTTCTTGGAAATTCTAGTGTGAAAATACATTACAATTAGAGTACTTCTTCTATACATCTGTGTCATCTGGGCTGTTCGTCCTGAATGTGTCCAAAACAAAAGTACTCATCTACAAAATTTAACCATTGATGATTGAGAGTTGTAGTTGTGCTGGAAATTCTTTATTTGAAAATGATGTTGTGCCATAGTTATAATTAGTAAACTTGATTGAATCCGGGGCCTCTTCTGTTTACAATTAACGGAGCAATTAAGGATATTGTTGAGGCTGTTAAATAATCTGAATTTTTGCTGATGGCTGTGAATTGAATTGTAGCATCACTTTTTAGGTTGATTGTGAGGTTCTTCAGACTCCAGAGGGATCTGTATACCAATATAACTACCCAAATAAGAAGCAAGGAGAGAAGTGTAGGTATATAAGACCATGATTGGGTTATAGTCGAGGTTATAGTTGTTGATCCTTGACCCTGCAATGTTTTCAATGAATATAAGAATAAATGCAGAAATTAGTGAAGAAAACTGTTTCTGAGGCAGTGATAAAATACTTCATTTATGAAAACCTGTAGCATAGGTTGGAAAATAAAAGCTTCTGATATTTTTTCACCTGAAAGTTGTCTCCAATTTATTAAATTCCAGCATCAAAATATTTGGCAAAGCAAATAAATAGGTATACAAGACAAACCAGAATCAAGGGCAACAAACCACTTGTATTGCAAAATAAATACATGTACCCAAACAATTTAATCATTCTGAGCAAGGTTTTCGCAATAGCGCAATGAATTTATACTCGTTAATTCAAGGTTCCCACGAAAACGAATACTATCAATATCAAATTGAGGGAAAAAAAAAACATTAGCCAAAGTTCCTACCTTGTTGAATTTTTGTGTTCCTGGCGGCCAGAGCGTATTTCCCGGCCGTAGCCAAACTGCACCGGACACTGGACATCTTGGCGCAAACTTCTTCGCAATAATATCGGAAAATAATCAAGCAAAATCGTATGTTTTCAAACACGTAGTCCTTCAAGTCAATCAAGGTCTTGACATGACGCAACTGGCCTTTGATAACAACACTTTTGGCTCGACGAATTGTTTTTGTGTAGTTGTGATGATGATTTTGCGAATGGGAAAATGTCGATACTGATAACGCGGAGACGATTCACTGGAATTTTAAGAGGAAAAGTGAAAAAGATGTTGATTGAACTAAACTGCCATATCAAAAACGATCGTGTTTATTTTTTTTTGCGATGAAATTTGACGGATGGATGGGTTGACGTCAGATCGAATGACGTTTGTTATTTGTTTGCTCGCTATTTACTATAGTGGCGCCATCTAGCACTATCGTCTTTTCTTTCACAATCCTTACTCTGGAAGAGTAGCTCGGGTTGCTCGGACTGCTTGGAGTAATAACAAGTAGAGACGCATTCGAAAACATGCCTGTCAGTGCGAATTCTATTTTCAAGTTTGGAGATGAATTTTTCTCATTTAATCTGAGCTAAAGACTTCGGTTAGCTATATCCCGTTTTCGTTATTCCATAGGCGACTGTTCATTCACCTCCGAACGGCAACTGGCAACTGGATGATTTTTACACCCCAGACCACGTTATCGAACTCAGTCTAGCACCGGAAAGCATAGCGGATAACGAGAAGAATAGAGAAGTCAAGGGGACGACTCGATGGAATAGATAGAGAAGGAGAAAAGTAGAAGACACAACGCCACATTGCCACATTTACCAAATTTGATCTAGATTTACCGAATTTGATCCAGATCTACCACATTTACCATGATCTACCGAATTTGATCTAGATCAAAATGATCATCCGAGCTCAAGGTTGTTTGGAAGAGATAGGTTGAAAGAGCCGCTTTCCAGTGACGAATTTTTTGATGCTCCACACGGGCTGTCCAACTTCAAGAGCACCAAGAGCCGCTTTAAATAAAAATACGGTTTGGAGGGCCGCATTATAAAATACTTCGCATACAACTTCATCCGTGAGTATTAATAGGTATGGTATACAAAGAAAAAAATGCGTCTTTAATATTTAAATTTACTCAAAAAGATACAAATTACAAATAAATAGTGGAAAAAATGAGGATGTTGGTTCTCACTACTGACTTATTAGAAAGAGAGCATCTATATTTTGACTATTTTCTTTCTATCCTTCGCCAGTGGCAAATTAGGGACCTGCTCCGCGGACCTCTTATTGGACAGGGCTGCTATACACCCGTAGCTCCACACTCTTGGGCTCCAAACAACTGTAGTGTCACTGGAACGCACCCTACTTTATGCGTCGTGTTTTTTATGCACCCATAAAATTGCTGGGCCTGAGAGGACAGGGGAGAGGAACAATGAACAGTTCAGTTGCGCGAAACTCTAATGGACTGGCACGCCTGTGAACAGTCCAGGGCGCTCTAGAGTAGAGCAGCTCAGGAGTGCTCAAAGTGCGTCACTGGAAAGTGACTCTGGGCTGAGCTGGGACACTGTAACAGGTAGAGGTTTTTTTCCCTATCGCTATAGCTCTTGGTGTCTCCTTCTCTTCAAATTCAATAGAGAGGGGACGTCTATAAAGATAGACAAAAAATCTCCATCTGTTACAGAGTCCCAACTTTGATGACTTTTATAACGTCATCTGAAGTTTCTAGACATAATGCATAATGCCATAATGCATATCTCGATTAGGCACTCCAGTGACGTCATCTGTTTGCCATAACCACAATACCAGACAATCTACTGAAGGCCGGGTTTCTCAATAGCGAGTCACCTCCGGGTTAAGCATAACTCCAGGATAAACATAGCAACTAGATACGTGTATTCTGGAGTTAAAACTTTCTTTGTGGATCCTACACAACCTTGGAATATAAAACCATATAAGTAGTTTTATATTCAAACTACACAACACAATACACAATTTGAGAAAAAAAGGATGTGATGTGGCAACACTGAGAGATGTCAAATAGTAACTGTGCTGTCAGATCGTTGGCTGTGGATTGGGTGCGGTAAAAATTTATTAAAAGCCAGGCCAGAGAAGATAATCTAGAGAAAATTACCAAATTGGAGTATTAAAACCTGATTAAATAAGAAAATTGTAGTTTTGTGACGTTTAATAAACCTTCCGGTAAGTGTTTTCAATATTTTAAATGGGTTTTAGACCAAACTTTCAATATTGGGCCTAAGTAGGTCTTATCTTCCACCACACCTCTACATTTCTAATTACAAGTGGATATGTGAGTGATTTATGGCATACTTTAAGCATTAATCCAGAATGTTCCCATGCCTCTCTAAACTATAAATCTTAGGTCGCTCATTTAGTGTAAAAATAGGTATCTAGTTTTTTATTTCGAATTTTTCCCATATCACAGGATATGTTTATTTATTTAAGGCCAAATTCCTTTTATCTCACTCCTCCATTTTAAAGGGTATTTTTAGCACCCCTTGAAACCGTCTCCTATTAATACCATATATGTTTATCGATTATTGACCATTAAGTAACTTTACGGCAGCAAAGGAATGCAGTAATCCATAAACAAGCCTAGAAGGTCACATTTTGTGTGCCCATCAATAATGATGAGGTCATAGTACTGCATTATGTCATGGTTTAAATTAATTTTAATTGACATGATTAGAGGATGTGATAATAGATTTATCTTTTTGGTTTTTTCTTACTGAGGGTATTATTAGAAATACTGAAATACTTAAGCAGCTGGTATTGATAACTGTGTATCAGAAACCTTACCCTTGATTTTTTTCATAATGCTGTGTTCTTTTTTCCTAAAAGAAAATTAACTTCGAGATTTACTTCTAGTATGGGATGATATTTTGCACCTACACCTGTTCGAAAAAATACCCAAAAATATCAAATGTGGAAGTTGTAGGTAATATCAGAAGTTAGTTACAAGTATACCTACAGGGTGTGTTACAAAAATGTGGCAAAGCAAAGTTAAAGAGTCTGCAAATTTTAAGTAGTTTTCATTAGTTTTTGACATTTTATAAGTCTTATGCGCCATTTTCTTTTGAATTATCATAGTTTTTAATTCAGAATTCATCCATTTCCATGTCACAAATAACATGGGCGGTTGCCAACGGCTAAATTGGCTGAGATTTTAGAGGATGTCTTGCTGAACACTGTTTAAATGGAGCAAATTTTTCTATGCGCCATAGTAGGGCCACAAATCGCAATTGAAGTTTAGAAATTCGTAATATGGATCTAATTAAGTATTATAGAGAACACAGAGGTTCAATTGCATTGATTTTTGATTATATTGTTAAGCAAAAATAGGCATTTTTCATTTGGACCTTTTAACTAAATAGATGACTTGTCAACACTAAAATATGTATTTATTTATTATGCCTCATCAATGTTATTATCGTTACGACGAGCAACATCAAGTACTGTTGTTAATAGTTGTTCTGGAGGATAGTGAATGTCTTCCTTATGTCTAGCGAATCCCAGATACCACAGAATCGATGCTATGTAAGCACATAGGTACTCCCAATGTTCTAGCACCTACCTTACATGTGCAGTAAGTGCAGAGGATAGGGCCTCTGTCTTGTTCATTTATTTCTGCATTGAACAAAATAAGTGAAGTATTATCGAGAGTATTATATTGTGCCTGAACATGTCACGAAAATATTCGTATTCTTATCAAGTTTGATTCAATTAAATGAACCTCAAATCCTCCATTTCCTGTAGCATTTTTATCCTGAATATATCCGGGTGCCAACTTGACCTGAACCTGAATTACATATTATCCAAAACATTTGGATAATATGTAATTCAGAGGCATCCTGGGAAATTAAAGAATACGGTCTTTGATTTCAAGTCTCTGGCTTGCCCGTCTCAAAAGATTTTAATTTTGGAGCCGTTGTTGCAGAATATTTTCTTGCGCCGCTAGATTTAGCATCTCTTGAGCCGTTTCAGCATTGAAATCTAAAACTCAAGCAGTTTTTCGTAAGTTTCTGGGCAGAGTCGATTTGAAAAGCTTACTTAGTTACAAGAGTATGAACATGTCAATAATAATGGAGAGAATTTTAACAACTTTTTATTAATCAAGAAATAAAAGTCAAAAAAACCGTAGTTTGTAATAATTAGCGTAATATTTAATCAATAGCTGCCTAGCGATTCCGGCCTTGGGCCATCATCAGGAGTTAAACTTTGTGAAAAACTACTAAGAACATAAAAACCATTTTTTAAATATTAACTGGTAGAACGCTGGTAGATACTACCAAGACCAATATTTCTGTGAGAGTGCGAGACCAATATTTCTGTGAGAGTGCTGAGACCAAAATATTGTTCTTGGTAACTACCCGTTATTATTTAAAAAATAGTTTTTATGTTTTTGGTAGTTCAACCCCTGATGATGGCCCAAGACCAAAAGTGCTAGGCAGCCATTGATAAAATATTACTCTGAATACAAACTCCGGTTTTTTGACTTTTATTTCTTGATTGTCAAAGAACAGCGAAACAGTGTACAACTAAACAATTTCTATTAACTCTTTATTAGTTTTTATCTCACCTTCCATAGAAATTGGTGGATGAAACGCATTGATAATGGCAGATGTTATCCTCAAATACCTTCTAAAATGTAACACCTGATGTATATTCAAATTCAAATTCAAAAACAGCTAGTATAGATACTACGTTTTGGAAGAACTTGAAAATACTTTTAATATGCCTATTTCGAGATTCAGCTATCCACCTCGTTTTTGTTATGAGTCTGGCTTGGTTTGCTTGAGCGGTCGTGTACTGCCTTTGATTTAAAATAATAATAACGAGAATAAAACCTATCAATCTATCAATTTGGAAAACGCTTGTGCGTGTATGACAGGGATATACTAATATATGGTATTTATGTAAAACTACTATTTTGAAACATAAATAGGTATACCCACCTTGATACCCACCTCTCGCCAAAAATGTTGGAATTTCGCAGTTTAGCTGGAGATTTTCTTAAAAATTCAACTGCATCCCAATATCGTCTGCCAACCACAAAAATGTCACCATCTTGCATCCAGTCTACCATTTGATGAGCATCGTCTTCTAATGAAGTTCTGAATTGATTTCTTCAGTACGCATTATCTCAAACATGTTCCTTTAACTTACATTATTATTCTGGCATTATTGTTTCTGCCATCACAGAAGCAATGGCCTATTACATCCAGTATAAATCCGTCCGAGGAAACAATAACACAGGCTTTAATCAGCTTGTAATGCTTACATATGTAGAGAATATGACTATGCTTTTGAACCACAGTACATTAGCAAATTCTGAACTGTACCTATTAATAAATATTTTACGATCCCTAAGTTCCGGAGAATAGGGAACTTGCACATTTTTTTTTTAATTCAAAAATGTGTTCTACTTCACTAAAGACATAGTCATGCCAAATATCAGGCATTAAGAATCAGCCGTTAATTTTTTATAAATATTTCAAGTTACGCTCGAAACATCGCCATTTGAAACGACCGATCAGTGTGACGTCACTCGGCAACAAAATTCCGATCACAGTGACGAGCACTTCGAACTTCAAGCAGGTAGATTAAGATTATGGTTATGTTGTTATGTATGCAGTTTTTAATAGATTTGACATTGGCGACACCAGCAGCACATGACGTGGCAGCGGCACGACCCGATTATTACTGCCTTGTGACGTCACGACCCATAGAAATACGTTTTTGATCGCGTCATGAATTTCGAATTATTTGGTATTTTCAATTGAAGATTTTGGACATGCAAGATATTAAATTTTTTTCCTAATTGCATCATTTATTAGGATGATTGTTATTGTTTTTTGTTATTTATTCCATATTTAGTTTGATGTGCAAGTTCCCTATTGAATCCAAGGTGCAATGGAACAAAAAAGATCCAAAGACCTACTGATAACATCTATTGCAAAACTCACTGATTGTCTGGAAGAATACTTCATAACAGCTTTAATAAAATAATCAGAAATTCCTTGTCGTAACTTTAACTAAAAATGCCATTAAATTTTTTTTTCTAATATTTCTCTGTGATTCATCTTCAAGAATAACTGGTTGAAGCATTTGGTTGAACTGCTCTTTCGTAACATGTTATTGTTTTAAACTTTTGATCCGTAAAATTCTCCTCATTTTCATACAAATCTTTGGCTGTTGAGTTTGCCAAATCCCTATGCCTTTGAAACCAAGTTGAAACTTCATTTCCAGACAAAACCAGTTTCATGGGAATTGGGATAAATTGCTAATGCGACAAAACCTCCTCAGTGATATCACCAGCGCTATGATTCAGACAACATCGTATTCCTGGAGGCAAGTAAATTTCAGTTTTTAAATAGCAAAATACTCTTCTATTGAAACTTGGACGATCTTGTGTTCCTTCTTCACACAAAAAACAGCTATCTTGTTGTCTAACCAAAGAGTGAGGCAGACTAGGCAAGTGCATCTTTTTCATAGCGAGTATCATAGGACTAATTATGGTTTTTTCTGCCCTATGGCTAGAATATGCAGAGAAGCTAATCAGCTACCCAACAATTTTGATTTTTTTGGCATGTCTCTGAAAAAAAAAAAAATCAGTGTATTTATATAATGTACTTACCAAAAATGTTAAATTTTAAGTTGTGTTTTTCTTTAATATTATATCGTCATATATTTTTGTATTATGTTATTTACTGTAATGGGCTTGTTCGTTAATAAAGTTTATTTATTTATTTATAAAGTTAAATAGAATCGAAGCTACATTGTCATCGGCCTCTATTACTGGACGTATTCTTTGGTCACAAATCATGTAAATGCGGGACTCTTCGTTTATAGCAGTTTGAGGAAATCCAAATCTCACTCTATGAAGGGCTGCAGTATCCACACGTTTCTGATTTAAATTATAAGGAAAATCACCATTCAAAATTCATTTTTAAATGGATCACCCTGTATTTTCTATCATTTTTAGAAAAGTCGCACTTCTTCACGTCTATTCTGTTGACAATATTTGATAATTCAATGGCTATTTTCATTTTATTTTAATGTTTTATTCGCAATAATTTTGACCACCCTGTAGAACTTAGATAAAAGTTAATGGTTCTCATACTAAAAATAGAAATGCCTATTTGTGTTTAACAACTTTACGAAAATCGTTGCAATTGAAC